TAATTGTTTATGTTTTATACAATCATAATAGGTAATCTTGTGAGTTCATGCATTTTTATGTATTCGAATTTGGGATAGATATATTTCGGATCGTATTTAGAAATATATTTAATTGGAGAGGTCCTTGAATAACTTAGGACTATCGATTATCAATTTATACAAAAATTAGATTAAAAAATAGAAGTTTAGAATTAGAATGAAAGATTAATTGGCAGAGTCATGTTCGTATCACATTTTTCTCACGGGGAGAGAGAGAGAGAGAGAGAGAGAGAGAGAGAGAGAGAGAGAGAGAGAGGAGTATATATAAGCTTCAACCAAGAATCTTAAAACCTCACCAATCCCTGATCAGTCTCTTCGCACATATAAATCGCATAAAGAAAAGATAAAAGAATTCCCCTTAAAAGCACTCAGAGATTCACACACGAGGGATGAATCTTTACAAGTATTTCACTCAAGAAAACCCAAAAGAAAACTGTTAAGCCCTCATTTCTCTATTTGGTACCACTTGCGCACGAGTCATAAGTTAGGCACCATTTTGCACTAGTGCATACATATGCTGACACGTTTTTATGTAGTTAGCGTCATTTGAAAATTGTTATTTCACTTGTCAATGACTCTGGCATCACAACCTTAAAACCACCATGAGCAACAGTGAGCCAATAGATATATAGAGGAGTGACATTCCAATTTCCACCTGCATATTTGTATTATAAATAGGAGATTGTGCATGTAAAATATGCATGAGTGGAATGAGTCAGAAAGTAATTAGAGATTTAGTGAGTGGAGCACCAGAGGGACCCAAACTGAAGGTGCTGTGAGTGTGTTAGTGCTTGAGTGATACAATACTGCATATATATAATATAATTGTCTTGAGAGAAACTAATGGTTTCCACTGTGTTGTGTTCTTTGCTCATTATTTAAGCTTCTGGCTCTCAATAATGCACAATAATGTGGTTTAATTAAGTTGATGAATGGCAAGCACACATAAATTAGTTCTTGGAAAGTGGAAAATTATATACAATCTTTCCTCCGTCGTAGGGCTTCTCCTCATAGCCTATGTCATTGGTGCTCTTTATCTAAGAGGGGATAGTCAACGTGTCTTAGAAAACCAGATGAGGCCTCATGATTCTATTCTGCGCTGTAATTTGTTTTCTGGCAAATGGGTTTATGATAACATATCTTACCCTTTATACAAGGGAAATCAATGTTCTTTAATGGAAGAAGACTTTGCATGTGACAAGTATGGAAGAAAGGACTTGAATTATCAGAAATGGCGATGGCAGCCTTGTGATTGTGACCTTCCAAGGTTCTGTCTTACTCTCATTTACAGAAGCACAGGGCATGTATGGTACCAAGTGTTGGATAAGACTGCCAACTGCACAGCATAACAAATAAAAGTTCAATTTCTTTTCCTTCAATAAAATTATCTATTATTGTTTAGTCCACCTTACCAAACATATCAGTTGTACATTAAGAATTAATGATTGATTATAAAGTTTCCTGGCAATTATGTTGATGATTTTTCTTTTATGTCAAGGTTCAATGCTACTGCATTGTTGGAGAAATTAAGGGGGAAGAAGCTTATTTTTGTAGGAGATTCTTTGAATCGAAACCAATTCATGTCCATGGTCTGCCTAATTGAGACATCAATCCCTCCGTCATCTTTTAAATCACTGACCTTGAAAGAAAACTCAATCATCTTTAAGGCCACCGTAAGATAATTTTCTCTTTTCGTTTTTTTTTTTTTCTTTCTTTCTTTCTTAAAGCTAGGGTAGTGAGAGACTTTCAATGCTGAAAAAGCTTGTGAGTCCTCCATATGCCCTTGAAATTTATAATATTTTCAACTTTTCACATTTCACTTTCTCACGGTCTACTCATCTACAATGATCATGATTTTTCTTGTTAAATCCATGAAGGACTACAACGCCACAATAGAATTCTACTGGTCTCCTTTGCTGGTCGAATCTAACTGCGATGACCTAGCCACGCATGGGGTACGAGATCGTATAGTTAGAGTTCACGCAATTGAAAAGCATGCCAGGCAATGGACAAATGCAGACATACTCGTATTTGATTCCTACATGTGGTGGTTGCTGCCCAAAATGAAACTTCTGTGAGTACATTTTAAGGAAGCAAAGGATACAACCAAACTCTAGTCTCACTTTTCATTTTATTTCCTGTATACGGTGATTCTGATACTGTACATTGATGATCAGATGGGGATCATTTGGAAACTCAGATGCCATCTACAAAGAAGTTGGGATGAGGCATCGTCGTTATGAAATGGCTTTGAACACATGGTCGGACTGGTTGGAATTCCACATTAACAGAACTAGAACAAAGTTGTTCTTCATGAGCCTTTCACCATATCATAGTGTGTATGTTTATTACTTCTTGTTGACGAAAAAAAAAAAACTTGGCTTGCACAATAGAAAAATGGCGAAAATGCTAGTTGAATAACACGATTCATTAACACTGCAGGAGTGAAGATTGGGGCGTGGATAAAGGTGGAAATTGTTACGGTGAAACTGAGCCAATTTTGAAAGAGGGGTATCGCGGAAGTGGCACGGACCGTGGAATGATGCAAATAGTAGAATCAGCAATACAAAAACTCAAAACAAGTGGCATAAAGGTAGAGTACCTCGATATAACACAGTTGTCGGATTACAGGAAAGACGCTCACACTTCTATCTATAGGTTGTTCTGGGTGCCTCCAACTGAAGAACAATTAGCAAACCCCAAGAACTATTCAGATTGTGTGCATTGGTGTCTTCCGGGAGTGCCTGATGTTTGGAATATGATCCTCTATTCCTATATTATTTATTCATGATACTTCTTATATAACAAAATTTGTACCTTTGTGTTTCTATATGTATCTGCCAGCGAACCAAACAACATGCGAGCTCAGGATAAGGCTAGCAAGCATTAATAACGCAAAGCCTTATAATTGACATTGACTATAAATGCCAAGCTAGCATATATACTTCAGTACTTTCGTCAGCTATTTCACATCAGTAGAAATTGCTATCAAAGCACACGTAAATAAGAATATAAAAATATGACTTCACAACCAATGAATGAAGAATACGTGGACTGATGGATAAAATGTGAAAAGCTAACACATTTAGTTGGATTTCGTTTCTTCCCCTAAATCGCCTTTTCTTCTCATTTTCTCTCCAAGCCAAAGTTAAAATCAGCAAAATGAAATGGAGGAAATTCCTAATTTGTTCCTCAAATCACAAATGACATCTATCTTCAACATTGAGAAGAAGAAATTCCGAATCACAAGGGTTTGTTATACCGTGCTCTTCAAAAAAAAATTGTGTTGCTTTTCTTCATTTTGAGGTAAATTACATCGTTCTTCTTCACTTTCAAGAAGCTAATATGGGTTTTCTGGAATTTTACGCACTTTTGTTTTTCTAGAATTTAAATTCTTCCTATGTTGGAGAAATTAGGAATTATAGATGAAACAAAGGCTTCAATAGGCAGGCTATGGAGACCATAGAAAAGATAAACGTACTGGTCCTCCTGGTCCAAACTATTATGATAAGAATTATAAGCAGGGGCGGACCCGCATATTTCAGAGAATCCATAACTGTTTTAACATTTATTAAATTTACTAAAAATTTGATTTTAATCTCCATCAAATAGGGACAAAATCACAATAAATTTGAATTTTTTATTTTTTTTTCTTGCTCTCTTTTATTCTTTTCTTCACTCCTTTTAACAAAATCTTTACTCTTTTAATTTTTTAAAATTTGTATA